TCTCCTCCCCTGCCTTTCCCACCCCACCGTGAGAAATGAAAGAGGCATAATTGTTTTCCATAATGACATTAACGCCCTTTGCAAACATTTACTGATTCTCAAAGAAATATAATCTGATTGTGGCAAATGTCAATAAAAATTTTTAAGTGCATCTTTCCTTAGAATTGTTGACAAGAGTTTGTAGGGGAAAAATCCATATACTCGAATGAAAATATCAGAATAAAACTCTAATTACATAATAGAAAATAGCAATGATTAGTCAGTTTGCCTTTTTCAGAGAAAGCTCAAAAGAGAAGAAATTCAGTTTATATCTACCCTGTTGAATGATGTAAATTCACACCTTTTCCTAAGGCATTTTCCTTTCCCTGTCAACAAAATAGAGTGTATCAGTTGAAATAGGCCACAGACTTCATTATCTAAGAAACTAGGGTGGAAATGAACTGAGAAAGCCTAGTAATAACCTGGTAGCAATCCACTGAAATTTAACCTTGCTGTCATTCCTTTTCATTTCCTTCTGTTGGATGGTACTGGAATTTGCATATGTGGAGAGTTGCGTACTTGTAATGGACAAGTTCCACTGATCCTGTTATAGCAGATTCTACCCAACCACTGATTCTTCTCATCCCTGTTCAGTTAACACATCCTCACTGTTCACAATGCACAACATAAAGACAACGATGCACAAAAACAGGTGTAAAGATGTAAAAGGCCCTTAGGAAGCTCATAAGCTAGAGTAGCCAGGTCTAATCATCTCCTCCTCCATGACTCATTGATGTTCTCCCAATAGACACTACACCTGATCCCTTGCTTTGGTCTTCAATAACTATTATAGTCACTGCCAATGGCCTTAATTTTGGATTTCTAGCTCTCCTTGGGAAGTGAATGTCTCTGACCGGCCCCACTGTAGCATGGTCTGTTTGGGAGCAACTTCAGAATTCCTACAGAGGATTGGCTTTGGGATGGCCTGGCTTAAAGGGAGACCAGGGGCTTGCCTTAAAGCTTCATTTACAAAGCAAGTACACTGCTTTCGTTTAGACTGCATATTTGCTTGGATGGTCTTTGGGCAAACTGGTGGGTTTACGGAGGGGCTAATGTGCCCTCTAACCCAGCGCTGTCACTTGCCACGCCATCCCTTGATAACACCCATGAATCTGTACATGGCTGAGTCAAGGCCAGCCAGTAGAAGGTCCATCCTAATGTCCCAGAGAACAATGAAGACATGGGACTAGGTGATGAGTAATTAGGGGGGCTGATTAACATCCTTAAGAAGGGGTGGGGCAGGCTGTACTGGGTGTGTTGCCTTCCAGAGTGACACTCAGTCTGGCGTAGCCTGAGATGTATGAATGATTCACATCTAAGGAGGGGAGACAAGCTTCATAGGAGCAGGGCAGTGCCAGGGGCCATGGACAAGGGAGGAGTTCAAGATGAGAGGCAGGTGGGACAGGAGGCTAGAGGTCAGGCACTGCAGAAGCCAGGCAAGGAAGGGAAGAGAGAAGAGGAACACAGAGGGGGACAGAGGCCTAGGGGTGATGAAGAACAGGTGGTACAACCCAGGATGTTAGGACTTTCTTCTCAGTCGGTACTACTCTCCTGGCTTGTCAGGTCAGGCATAGAGCAACAAACATCTTTCAGACTGAATTAAATAATTGGCTTAATTGTATTAGAGGGAGCAATGCCTTGAGTCACTTTAGGGCTTTGTAGAGTGAAACTCAGAGAGCCAAGTTAGCAAGAAGGCTCAGGGGAGTGAGGATGGTGTGGGTGCACTCAATTCAACATGCGATGATTGCCATCACCACTCTCCTTCTGACCTATGCGTGGGTGGCTAGCTCTTTGTTTTTGTCCACCAAGAATTGAGATGAGCAGACAGTATGGGAAATTCTAAGAGGGAATTAAAGTTTCTGTGGAACTTTGCCCTGTACCTTTGATCACGCAGTGTTAGGCAGTCTCAGTCCTGAAATGTATCTCCCGCTTGTATTTCCCACAGAGAACTTTCTCAACTTTTGGTACAATTTCCTCCTTGAAGTCTAGAATGACATCAGATGTCTGGAGAAAGGGATGTGGAGAGGGTGCAGCAATACCCACTTAGCACTCAAGACACCCAGAGATCCTAATACCCCCAAATAGTCAGTGCCGAGTGAGCCTGCTTGGGATGGCCCACATCTGGATGCCCGGGCTCCTTAATTCCAACATTTATATGACCTTTCACAGGGCACAAAGCTCTTCCACATACATAACTTAATGAGATCCATCAACAATCCATGCAGACAGGTAGAAAAGGAATTACTATCTCCATTGTATAAATGAGAAAACCGATTCAAGGATAACAAGTAATATATTCAAGGTCACAAGAACTCACAAAAGTGGGGCTGGGATTAGAACCCAGAGCCCTGTACTCCAAGTGCCTCTAGCCCATCATTTGCATTTGCAAAAGCACAAACACTCAGTGCAGACAGCCCCCATCCTCACCACACCTCTCTCCTCCATGGCAGGACTAAGTTCCAGGAGACTCCTCCACTTACATACAGAATCCAGGATGAAGGACAAAGGATCACTAAGGCTAGAAAGGAGGAGGCTCAGTACCTGCAGGAGGAACAATGAAGGGAGGGGTGAAAGGCTCATGGTCAGGAAAGAGGAAAGCAAGTAAGAAAAATGTGCATAACATCTCTAAGGCACCTACGACTTGGAAATCCATCTTTGCACTCTTCCAGGAACACTATACATTTGCATCAGTGTTTACAGAAATGTCAATACTTTAATGTTTACGTGGAAGAAAAGAAAGCAACCAGCATTTAAGGAGTACTTCCTGTATATCAGAAACCATGCTAAGTGCTTTCTCTTTTAATCTTGGGAGGTGAATATAATCTTCATTTTAACAGACAAGGAAAGCCTAGACTGGAACAAAAAGCTGGTGTGACAGCAAAACCTTGCTCTTCCCTTTATACCACATTAATAATGCCTTGGGCCTGGTCTTCCATTTAGAAGCTTGCGATCAGACTTAACCACTCTGTTGGGTATAATCACAGGCCAGAAAGCATTTGAACTAATGTATACTCCAAGGAGAATGGCTAATGGGTAATTTGAGTTATCGTAATTCCCTTTTGAGTTACAGTGATTCCCCTTGCCCTAGCCCAAAGAAATAAGAGGTTGGGCTTAAGTCATGGTGAACTGCTGCTCCTCAGCAGGAAGCTGGGGAATGCGGAGGAGAAGCAGCCAGCCTCAGGCATGTGTGTACAGCTGTCTCTGGGAGTGTGTGCCTCAGTTGCTGCCTGGCTGCAATGCTGTGTGTGCATTTGTTCCTCTGTGCATGTGTGTTTTTGAAAAATGAGATGGTTAACCTGTTATAGTATCTCAAATGGGTTCTGGTGAACATACATGAAAAACAATAGCATATTTTAATGTTTTCATTTCAGTCTTCATTTATAGAAAACATACAGACTTGTTCTATCAAACATCTTGTAAAATTGTCAGCTACCTAAAATAGATCTGATCTGATATAGAGCATCTGGTAGTTGATGTATGTATTTGCCAGATTTACAAAAGTGGAGTGTCCCTTAAATCAAAGCTACAAATTTTGAATTCTAAAGGCAAAAAAAGGAAACAAGAAAAATTTGCCAAAATAATCTATTTTCCTAGTTACACGGTAGTGACAATCACTGTAACTGTTGTCCAGATCCTTAGATGTCCAGGTCCCTATATGATAATAGGTCCATACAGTCTGGAAGCTTATCTTAAGTACACAACACAGGGTTTGCTTGCTGGTCTTTTTAGAATGGTCCAGTTTGTTTAGATAAACATGGTGTTAAAAGAGCCAAGGATGTGTGTTTCTAACTGTATCACTTCTGGCCAAAAAAAAAAAAAAAGGAAAATTCTATTCACTAGACTCAGACCACCATAAAATTGGATCCGATGTCTCATAGGAAGGTTTAGCAACTATGGATAGTTCACTGGAAAACCCAACAACTCTACTTAGCTACACAAAAACCCATGCATTAATGAAATGCTGCACAGTGCACAGAATAATCACCTACTTATAAAGAAAGGATTGTCTGTGACCAACGTTTGCGTTACTCTCCGACTTATAAAAAGTAGGAACTGTGAGAAGTTGAGCGGCCCTTTACTTCTAAAGTGACATTCCAAGAGCAGGTAACACTTACTCTAGGCAGCAAAGGAGTGAGGAGGGAGAAGAGTGTTGTTAACGTCAATAACAAATTACGAAGGACACATTTCGTGGAAATTACTCAGGTAAAAATTGACCTACAAATGCTTTTGAGGGCTGTTCTAATGATTACCTTAATAAGACTAAATTGTTTCCAATATTCACAGTCACTCCTCAAATTACATGCTTGAGAAATTTCTAAGCGATTTTGGGAGTTGCAACTTGCTGCCGGAAAGCAATAAAGTAACACTACTACAGAACACAGCATTTTGTCTGCCAGTGGTGAGGGGGGTCCCGGGAACTTTCCAGTAGCTAGCACACCCCTGATTGTGTTACTAGTTAGCTAATAACTTTTCCCCAATCTTTACATGCCTGCACAGGTTCAAGCTGTTCCCCAACGGACACATCATTGCACCGGGTGTAACTGGAGGCTGGAAATGTCATACCCCTTGGCTCCACGGCAGAAGCCCAGTTGCCTAATTACCATCGACGGCAGGAAGACCGAGTTTGGGAAACAGCACCTGTGCAAAGGCAGCGTGCAGCCTGTGCCGCGCTCTCGGCGCCCCTGAGCTCTGCCCACCAGCCCACCCGATTTTGCATCTGTATTGTTTTTTGCTCCTAGGGGGGAAAAAAGTGGGGAAAGGGCGAGATGCGCCACACACCCGCCCTAAGAGTCCTGTCCCAGGAGCGTGGAGTGGGTCTGGGGCCCAGGCTGCAAGCAAGCCAGGCAACCCTGCAAAGCCGCGGGCTGGGCCCGGCGGAGGCCCCTGCGCCCCGGCCTCCCCACGCGCGTCCCGGCCGGCCGTGGCTCCGGGAACCCTCCCGCGCCCGCCACCTCACTCACCGTTCACGCTCGCCCGCGCCGCCGAGCCCGGGAGCCGGGGCCCCTGCCGCTGCCGCATGCCCTCGGGGCCGAGCGCGACGGGGCGGCCGGGCGCCGGGCTCCGGCCGGGCGCCGAGGAGCAGCGGAGGACGCGGCGGATGGGCGGCGGAGCGCCTCCTCTCCAGCGGCCGATGAGACGCGCCCGGAGCCCGAGGAAAGTTTGGCGGGGCGAGGGAGGGGGCGGAGGGCCCGCGTCCCCGCCCTGCCCCGCCCGGTCCCGCCCTGCCCGGCTCGCGCACCGTTCCCACGGGAGGGCGCCCCACACCGGCCAGGCCAGGATGTGCGCGCAGAGGGCCCGCGGGAGCCCAGGGAGGCCCGCTCTGCTGTAGATGCGCTCCTGCCTGGGACTTGTCCCCCAGAGGGTGGCCGGCCCCGAGGGGGTAGGCACCCACTAAAGGACCGCTAGCGCCCACAGTCCTGACAGAGCCGTACCTTGGAGCTCCGTATTAAGGTGCAGTCCCTCTGTCCCTCTCGCCTCAGAGATTTGTTTGAAGCGGCTGCGGGAAGTGCAGCCCACACCCACCGCCAGTGGTAGGTAGGCAGGCTCACTGCCAGGCCCAGACCTAACGCTCCACAACTCGAACCGAAAGCTGCTGGGGGGTGCAGGCAGCCCTTCCTAGGCATCTTTTTATTGCAACGGAGAACAAAAAATCTTTAAGGTTCTTGTAAGAGGCTTGTTGGCTGCCCAGGGTAAATAGTCCTAGATACTTTGTTTTTCAAATCTGAACTATAAAGCCTCCACTGACCCACCTTTGGTAAAGAAGAAAGATGCAAAGTAAAACAGATGCCAGGAAGGCGTTGTTGTTCTCTCTGAATTCTGCAAAGTAATAATAACGAAGTCACAGAAATGCTCAAAGTTGGTCTTTCTTGGTGACCTCATTAAGAAGGAAATACTGTGAAGTGAAAAGTCCTTCCCACTCAGGCTTCAAATCCTTGGAAAACACTGAGAGCGACGTACCCAGAAGTCCTCCTGTCGCCTTTGTGCTTCATTCATTCATTCTCTGTGCATTCTACATGAATATTGGGCCCTTCTGCGTGCCAGCTAGCAACCACAGCCTAGGAAACAACCGCCAGTCTGCCCTCTACCATCAGAGACTCTGCTCTCTCTTAAGACAATGTTTTAATAAGGTTATATTCCTTATGCAATGGATCTTATCCCATAGACCATGACAGCCTAGTGTGCCTTAAACCTTCACAGGGATATGGCTAAATTTTGATCAGAATGTACGAATTATTATTGCTTCATCTGGGTGTTCAGAAAATTATTATGTTGTCTTGTGGATGAACTGTGTAGAGAGCTGTACAACTTGCAAAGCCAGTGCTAAAGAAAGATCTTATGTTTACCAGAACAAGCAGAATCCTTGCATGTGATAAAGAGACCAGGTCAGGAGAATAAACAGCTCAAATAAAATATCACAGTGCCAGAGAGCAACCCGGTGAACACAAAAATTCTCAACCACCGGCACTCGGTGAACACTTGACTCAACAAATGTGTAGTAAGTATGTTGAGCAAGCAAGTTGTTGTAGGCTGGGCTGGGAACTGTAAACACCATTTAGAGCCTTCTTTTGCTGGGAAATCTGTTCCGAGCTCCAAACAACTTACTAACAAAAGCACTTTGGAAATATGTTTTGTTGTACCTGGGGAACTTCCTGAACTTGAGCATTGCAAAGGCAAACAGGGATTCTGTGGGGAGCCCCTGACTACCTTTAACACACGAATCCTTTAAAAAGGAGGGAGGAGAAGAGTTGTACTGGGAACTGTGTTGCAAAAGGAAAAATACATTCTAGCTAGATGGTTTTTAGCAAATATGGGTCAGATGTGAGGGGAAGGCAAGAAAGTGATACTGAAAAACAGATTTGGGGGGAAGGAACAACAATAAAGACCCACGGGCAGGAGCAGGGAAGAAAGGACAAGAGGCAAGGGGCAGCTAAAAGGAAGACATGACCCCCAAATGCTAGTTTTTAGAAGGTAGCTCAGGGATTATCCACCAGAATCTTCTATACATTCTTTTCAGTCTGTGGTGTCTTTCTTCGCCCTCAAAATGGTTTTATTAGTAAAATCAAATTAAAATTAACATCAAAAATGGCAAGTATGAAGCCTGAGGGTATACTTTGCCTTAGAGATCTCTCACTGGAAAGTTATTCAAAACTTCTTCAACAAACATTTGCTGATCTGCTTCCTGTATATAAATGTTGTGTTTTGTGTTCCTGGGACACAATGAGTTAGAACATTGTTTCTATAATATAAGGGGGGGAAGGGGCATTTCACAGTGTTTGATGAGTGGAATTGTGATGGCTGAAGAAACAACTGTGGCCATGGAGAACCTGTGTCAGCCAGAGTTTATGGGGCAGGGTATGGATGCTGCAAGATAAACAAATAATAATAAACAAATAAAATTTAAAACTGCCTGCCTCCTGCCACAGTGAGAAGCAATGTGGGACTCACAAGACTTCTTTCTGTCTGGATTTATGGAAAGAGGCCATGTGCATCTGTCCCCAGCTGAGCTTGGACCTACGATCCTATGGACAGGAATTCACAGATTTGTTTTCCTTAACTTGGAGAAGTATCTGAACTGAATCTCTGTTGAATTTTGCTCATCGGTACTAATTAGTGATGAGGATGCCAACAGCAGGTGAATACGATGAGAAAGTGGAATGGTAGCTGTAAAAGTGATAGATTAAGTGGCACCTGAAATAACAGCTAGCTAGAAGGTTTTGAGAAAAGACTGACCTAACAGTTAACTCCATAGAAACCATGGAAATGTAGAGATAGTGTGGGCAAGATAGGTGGCCCTGTGGAGTATCTCTCAACAGTATGGAAGTAACTTCAAGTCAAAGTAATGGAAATAGTCCATAAATACCAAAAAAAATCAAAAATCAAAATTAATAGAAGTTCATTTAGATTGAGCAAACCATATCTCATATGAAGTATAAAAGAACTTTACATATGAAGAAGTAAAAATACTTCTTAGATATTCATCCTATCACTGCTTACTTCTGCATATTTTTAGGGTTCAGAAAAGAGTGATCAGTTTTGAAAATAAGGCATGAAGGAAATCTTGCTCTGACAGGTATGAAAATACATAAAAAAACCATAATAACTAAGGGGGCCTGTGCACTGGTTTGTCCAGGACAGTATAGATTTATACCTGTCACCTAGGCATAATTTACTTGCAAAAGTATCTAGTTTGGTTGCTAAATTATATAGTCACCTTAATTAGCAATTAAAACAATATGCCACTAAAGCAAGAATAGACAGACAAAGCATTAGACCAGAATTGCTATCCCATGTACAGAACCTAGTAAATATAAAAGTGCTTGTATTTGAAGAAGTTGGCATCTTAAATCAGCAGGAAAGGGAATGCTTAGTGAGTGACACTGGCACAAGTCATTGACTTTTGGGGAAAAAATAATATTAGATGCTTATCAAAGTAATTTTCATAGACATTAAATAGTCAGTTTCTTAAAAAGGAGAAAAAGTGAATCATGAAACAATTAGAAGAAAATAAAGATTAATATTTATTTGATTTCAGGTTTGGGGAGAACTTTTCAAAACATAAGAGCAAGGGAAGAAATCACAGAAAAATGTTAATTAACTTGACTACATGCAAATAGATATTTCTGCACATAATAAAAATAATCCCATAAATTTTAATAAAAATCAAACTAAAAACTAGGAGAGAAAACTATTGCAAGATATGATAGATGAAAGATTGACAGCTTTCGTACATCACTTATTGAAAAGCATGTAGAGAACTATTGATAGTTAAAAGAGTAATGTCAAAACAGAAAAATAAGCCAAGAATATGAGCAATTGGCTGAAGAAGAAACATGAATGACAAAATTTATGAAAATAAATCTCAACTGGTCTAACAATAAAAGAAGTATAAATTGAGATACCACTTGTCACCTATCAAATTGGCAAAGGCTTTTGATTATAGAGATTCCCAATGCTGACTAAGGTTTAAGGCAAATGAGTAACTTTGTGTGGGAGTACAAATTGGTAAAACTTCTTGGGTGGGCAATTTGCAGTATAACATAGTTTATTCATTCTCAGAAGTACTTCTTTAATATCTCTAAATTAAGATGTGTTTTGTGGTCATTGTTAGCCAGGCAAAAGTTGAGGCTTAGCTGTCATTACCAGACCATGTGCACCAAATTTTAAAGAATGGATGTCAGTGGTTGAAAGAAAATCCTGGAGCAAAGAGAAAAGCATATTTTTTTAAAGGCAGCATACAGTGCTTTTTATGGCACTCTGATCACATACCATGTGGAGTTGTAAAGTGACTCAGAAGAATGAGGAAGTTTAGGGGTGAATACTTTCACCAGGGTTTTTTGCTTCTCCTTTATGGATATACAAACATAAAACATAAACTACTAATTTTATGTTTAAATAAGTTAAGAAAACTCTTTCAGTACTTATTAATATAAAATAAAAGGTGTAAGTAGTAAGGAAGTATTATATTTAATTTCAATTGGCATCATTTTCTTTCTTAGTGTTAAATAAAATAATAATGGTGCATCTTATAATTTATGAGTTCTTAGATATGATCAACTGTGATATATCAAGAATCCTAACAATGTTCATACCATTTAACCCAGTAACTTCACATCTAGAAAGTTATCCTAAAGACACCATTGGAGGGACACAAAGATTTTAATATAAATATAAACATTTCAGTATTATTTATACAATTGAAATGTTAAAAAGAACCTAAAAAGTCTAACCTAATAGTCCAATAGAAACTTGATCAAATAAATTATTGTACCTTCACAGGATTGAATATTACGCAACTATACTAAACATGTTTCGAAAAATATATGATGACACAGGAACAAATTCAAATTCAAATTAAGTTTTTTATAAAAAGCAGAATGCAAAACTATATAATCAAATCTGTGTTTCCTTTTTAAAAAAGTGAGTATTTGAAGGAAAAAAATACTGCAAATAAATACCCATATTGTTAACTGTAATTATTTTGGGGAGATGGGAGTATGTGTATTTTTAATTTTTTATATACTTTTCCATGTTTTCAAAATTTCTTGCAATGAACATGTATAACCCAAATTTTTAAAACATAATATTTTTAATGGTGAATTCTTATAAGTAAATAGTCATGCCTTTTCAAACAAACAATTATAAAGAAAAATGTATACAGCTA